GCCAAAACCATTAGCTTTCTGGTTCCCATCATGAATGATAGTGTGTATTATTTAATAACGTATGGTTAAAAAAGAGATTTTAATATTAGGAGCAAGTAATATCATTTAGTTGGCCATACCTCAGTAGACTTCTATTGTGATGCAGAAAAAGTATCACATGATATGCACTAGTATTGTAGGATTTCCAGCTTCCTGAAATCTTTATCAGCAGCTATCCCTCTGTATCCTACCATATGCAGCAGTATAGAGAAGTAAGTCACCTTTGATAAGAAATCTCTTGTCTTAACCCCCTGAAAAACTACTAAATGCTTTGTCATACAGTTTCCTTTGGCTTTTCCACCAAGACTACCTCTGCTTTTTCTGGTCCATCCAAATGAAAATTTAAACAGATTTCTATTAGCATATACAGATGTTTTGTATACAAGTTTAATGTGTTTGTATAATATTGATATGGTTTAAGTATTCAGAAGAAAATACTTTAAATTGCTAAAATTATGTGAGATATTATAGCATCGCTATATTTCATGTTCTGCCTGTTAAGAATCCCATCAAAGCTCCAAATAAGCATCATGGATAAAATGCAGTTTTATTTTTCATAGATTCTAAATGGAAAATCTCGTATAAAAAACCGTGGTCAGCAAACCACCAAACAAAAAATCTTAACAACCTCTGAGTACTATTTTCTGGGCTGTCACTTGCATTTGTATTTGCCAGTATGGACCCCTCTACATGTGCAGGTAAAGGTGTGATGAGATCCAATGCATGAGTCACACAGTCACTGCCACACATGCATGATGGGGTGGGGAATGATTATGGGACTGCAAAGTAGATTCCCATCAACCTTATTTGTTGTGCAGGGGCAACCTGATCCCAGGCTTCTCCTGCAGCGGCAAGAAGCAAGCTCCCACAGCTTGGAGTATGCTTAGCTGACAGGACTTGCAGCTGCAGGGGTGCCATCACAGCAGCTGGTCTCCCAGCCATGGAGGTGGGGAGATGGCAGCTGCTGACGTCTTCCAGCTTGGGGGGTGTCCCCATGGCTAGGGGATCTCAGCAGTTGCAGTCTACCAGCCACGGGGGATTCATGGAGTCCCCTGTGGCTGGGAGCCCTGTCAGCTGGGAGCTCCCAGGCTTGGGGGTGCACTTGCTGCCCCCCCCTCCAGTGGAGAGCTCCGATCAACTGATGCAGGCTCTCAGCTACAGGGGCCCCTATCCATACATTAATTTAATGGCATGATAGGAAGTAGCTACAAAGTTAATGCACATATTTTGTGGAATAACTTTGTAGTTTATTCTAGAAGTGTGCAAAACAGGCCATATTCCATTCAGATTTGGCCCGAATTGGGGACAGTGATTCAATTAGTTGATTCGGATCACTGTCCCAGATTCGATTTGGCTGAATCTGAAGATTTGATGCTGATTCAGAGAATCAGTAATTCGGCCATAGGAACAGCTTTACATGTTTTTTCTACATACCTCGATGTACCAGGTGCGTGCAGCTCATGAACAGTGTGATGCTGGGGCGGATGGAGTGTCCCACAGTAGTGTGGAGGGCCCCCCCACGTGCTTCGCAGTGAACCTGGAAATGAACTGGAAGTACTTGGAAATGGACCGGAAGTACTCCGGGTGCCCCCCCAAACCCACAAGGCACCAGTCACCAAGCCAGGGAGACATGGGGAAGCCGCCCAGCACACTCCCTGGCAGACCCGGAAGTGGACCAGAAGAGCTTCTGGTCCACTTCTGGGTCTGCTGCCAAGCATACTGGGGAGCCCCCATGTGCTCCTGTGGAATGCTCCATCCACCTCAACATCGCAGCATTCATGAGCCACCTGGTACCTTGAGGTATGTAGAAAAAATATTTAAAGCCGTGTCTATGTCTGGAGGGTTCCGATTCTATTCGGAAAGATTAAAGGGTCTCCTGAGTCTATTCAGATTTGGAGATTCGGCCAACAAATCAGGCCGAATCTCCACCAAATCAAATCAGGTACTGAAGCTTCACACAGCCCTAGCTTATTCCTTTTTTTATCACACCATTACGTGCTTGAACACGTGGCCAGGTGACCACTTAAGTTTAGTTAACTGGTTAATCACATCTTGGTGTAGTGTGGAGATAGGGTCTAGGATACTCAATACAGCAAAAGCTGTGTTAACCGGCACTTTATTAGCCAGAAAACACTATTAACCAGCATCCGAGGAATATGGTGAAAGTGAAACCGGAAGTACCAATTCTGGAGGACTTCCCGTTTCGCTGCCGCAAGCTGAGTTTTTTTTCTTCGCCACTTTTTGCGTGGGGCAAAGCAGCCTGCGTGGGGCCCCCTTCCCTGTCCCCCAGCACACTGACACTGGGGAGTGCCCCAGATGGTACACATTTGATTTACCGGCATCCCCCATTCCCAGGGGATGTCAAATAACAGAGCTTTTACTGTAGTGTCTTTTACAAAGAAACATCCTATTTGATCTTTGACAACTCATGAGTGGAAGTGATGATTTTAGATCTCAGTTTGAAATCGGTGCTGGAACTTTTATTGTTAAAAATTCGTGCTTTTCATGCTATCGTTGAGCATTAATATTGTGCAACTAGTATGACCCTTAAAAGCAAGGATTTCTTTCAGTATCCTTTATTGGACTATCTATGCAGTTGAGATACAGTTACAAGCTTTTGGATGCAAGGGACCTGATGAAGAATGTTTTTGAATGTATTTGAAAGTTTGTCTTAACTCTATCCCAACTACATAGTTGGTCCAATAAAATATATCTCCCTAAGAAATCCTTGCCTCTCTCACAGTTTCTGGACCATCACTGCTACAAGATCACTCTTACTGCTAACATATGATCTCTCCTATTCATTCAAAAGCACCCTGGCTATCATCTGCTATACCTTATAATGCGGTATATGATTAGTGGTTAATAGGGCATATTGGAGAGATGGGCTAGGCTCTTCATTCTGTAACAGTTGTGATACTTTGTCCTCTAGTAAAATGTGGAGGTCATCTAATGTATGTTATATATTGGCTTGTAGATGCTTGATATATATGTTTCTCGTGCTTTATCTTTATTAAAGGATAGAATTATCAGATTTGTTTTTGTGGTGCTTTTTATGTCATTAATATAGTAGTAAGTTGTCATTTTTGTTTTTATTTATTTTCTAAATACTTGCAGTAGGACAATTGCTAGACGTAGCTTAATCATGTAATGCTTAATTTTATGTATATATAGATAACTGAGAATAGTATGAATCTAGTTGGGCAGTATTTTAAATGGTAAAAACCAAACTTTTCTGAATGAGTGTAGATAATCTGCAAGTATTTTTGCAGTGAATTAGTTTCCATTTAGGATTTTTTTATAGCTGCCTATTCTTTAGGCACACTCCCCACTTCAAAGAAATGCTTAAATATTGCGAGTCATCTAAAACTCTTTATTAATTTGACCCTTTAAATGTTGTGACTAGATCTTGATCTCTTTCATTGGCTAAATGTATATATGATCAAACATTATTTTATCTGTATGTCAAGTTATTTTAAGGAATAAGATTACATGTAGCTAATGGTGGTGTGCAAGATTAAAAGTCATTCTGATATCTTAAAATACAGTTTTATGATTTGCCCAAATTTTCTAACAGCCTATGTCATAAGACAAAAATGGAACCAGTGACTGGATTTGTTTTTGGTCTTAATTCTCTGTGAAGCACAGAATAGCATTGCCTCGTTGGTTCTCAGCTTTCCTGACAAAGAACCCGTTCTATATTGTGTCACTTCCACCACCACCTTTAAGAATCCTTTCTGTGTAGCTGAGTTTACGAAGCCGTTGATGTGAGAGAGTAAGAATTTGCTGTCTCAGCCACTTAGATATCTATTTACCAGGGTTAATTATTCTTGCCATTTTCATGAAAAAGATAAATTTGCAGGTAATGCTCCTTTATAATGAACATCTCATTTCCTGTAAATTTCTTTTTCATAAAAAGCCTCTATCTCTCTTGGCACCTTGCAAAGAGGCCAAGGCATGAACAAAAAAAATGGCCTACCTAATTCAGTCAGAGTTGTTCTTGGGTATGATTTAGCTGGAGGCAAACAAGCTTAACTTGTTTAACTTGCAAGTGCCCATTCTGTTCTGTAGACAAATTGCAGAGAATTTTGGCTCCTTCCCCCCCCCCCCCC